ATGTTTCCTGTCAGCTCGATTTTTGAGTGGACTTTGCTGTTCCGATGAGCATGAATGGTATATGAGTGGAGCACTCACACGGCACCCCTGCTCTCGACAGACGGTGCCGCGGCACCCCGGTTGGGAAACACTGGGTAAGCTAACAACACAGTTGACTTACCCTTCCAGTGACGACATGGCAGGTTGAATATTCATCAAAAAATTTGATTGCGTCCGTACACTTTCATTCAGATGAGGTGGTGCTGCTGGATCTGGATGGGCTGCCACAATAGAAAGCCTGGTACGGGCTCTGCCAGTGGGATATCATCTGGGATGGTCTCCAGAGTGTTTGAGTGCATATTTCCACTGTCCTAACATCCTCTGCCGGCTGGTCGCTCCCGCTTCACAGCAAGCGGCGCTCTCAATAACGCTAATTCAGTCCGTGTTTTGACTTCAGTAAATCAGTTTTGGCAAATACAAACTACGTGATTATTTTTCATGAGTTCAACATCCCGCCGTGCAAGAAAACATGCAATCTACCCAAAACGTGATCAATAAGGGAAGCTGTCTTTTATTGCAAAATAGAGAAAAAACATTTTACAAGTAAGCTTCTTAACCTTGAAGTCTATCTTATTCGTAAAACACAAAATGATCAATAAAAAAAGTGTCAAGCACCAAAAGCAGCCCAGCCATTAATTTCATATTCGCTCCTGGCTGTCCCTGCCTGCCAGCATGGTGGTGTAAACAGAATGGGTCACGTGAAGTCCGGAGCTCTATACTGAATGATCCAAGCATGTATCATGTTCAAAGACTGAATATTTGAAAGAGAATAACACAAGAGTTCTTTCAACCATTTGTCCACATCCAGACATATTTGTACCAGTGGCGGAGTCAGGGGCGGTTCTAGACCAAAGTAACTGAGGGGCCAGACAGGGGCCACTTGTGCTTTTAGGGCTCAATTAAATAAATCGTGTTCCTGTGGCTCAGTGGTAGAGCATTGTGTTAGCAGTGCAAAAGGTCATGGGTTCAATTCCCAGGGAACACACATACTGGTAAAAAAATGTATAACCTGAATGCACTGTAAGTTGCTTTTAGCGTCTGCTAAATGCAATAATTATTAATTATTATAAATTATCTTAACCTACTTTAAGTATTATTCATTCAGTCATTTTTCACCATGTCATGTATCACTGCAATGTCTAATCTATAACAATTTCAACTAAAATGAATGTTTCATCATGTTTAATTTATTTGACAAATAATTTTGTATTGTAGTGTCAGGGGCATCATGCACTCATTATTTTTGAGGGGGCACAAGTGAAGGGTGGGGGCTCTCATGCTTGTCATGTGACACACAGCAGCCACAATACCACTGTATAACTGATATAGGCTTATGTCCCTACTGAAAAAAAGCCCAATAAAACCATCACAGAAAATTTTAATGGTTTCCAATACAAATAACCATTACAAACATTACAAACCATCACATTTTAACCATTAAAACCATTAAAAAATGGTTTTCTGTAGTGTGTTTTGGGACATATTCCATTAGGATTTATTGGTTTTAACAAGCCACCAATAGAAGGCAACCAATTACCAGTAGAGACCAACAGGTCCATTACAGTTTCCAGTAAAACCAATACAAGTCCATTATAACCAGTAAAACCATTACAGATTTTGTAATGGTGTCTGTTGTTTTTTTTTTCAGCAGGGGTTTTATTCATTTTTTTTTTTTTATTCAAAATATTCCCAAAATATATAATGAAATATCTTGATTCTCAAATATGTTAAGTAAATGCATTTTGCACCTTTATAGATTATGTTAGTTGATCTATGTAATGGGCGATGGTCTTTTTACTTAAGTCTTTGTATGTAATGTGAATTTAATAAAAACATTATAAGTTACTAATTAGCCTGTAACACACACACACACACACACACACACAGATACATACATATATATATATATATATATATATATATATACTGTGTATATATATATTCAGTCTATCA